GCAGCTTTTGACAATGTACCTGAGGCTGAAAGCCATGATGAAAGTCAGGATGGGGAGAGGCAAGGACAGAAGCCTCCCTTAGCTCTGGTGATTCACTTTAAWCAAGGAATCCAACGGTCCCTGGGGCTGAGCCCAAGTGAGAAGGTCAAGGCCTTGCTTTCCCTTYACCAGCTCTGGGCCTGTGGGCACCACGTGTGGCTCGGGCCCAGGGGCAGGAGAGACAGCTAGTTCTGCACGGCCCCTCAGCCTGGAGCCTCAAGTCTGCCATGAGGTCCTTCTCTGCCCTAACGAGCCAGGTGTGTGAGGCAAAGCCAGGAAGAAGGGGTCAGTTACTTGGGGGTCGTATGAAGCTTCTGGATTACTACAACATGGTGACTTAGGACTGTTTGTTGGCTTTTGCCTCATAGTTACTCAGCAGAAATCACAGTAGCAGAAGGAGATATGGATTCTAGGAAGTAATAAACAGATGAGAGAGTGTGGAAACCCAGGAGACCCAGGCTAAGCTGGTGTCTGAGGTTGACTGGGGGCTATCTGGTGAGGGGCAGAGGTGCAGGGAAGGTCAGGGTGGGACTAGGTGGAGGAAAGCTCTGTAGGAGGAGAGTTCCCTCTCCCTGCTCCCTGGCATTCCCTTGGATCACTGCTGCCCCTCCCTTCATTGATCAAATGGTGGCAAAAGCCCTGCTGGGGTAAGAACAAAGATAGGTACTGACTGGCCAGCAGCTCACACCTGCTCTTATGGAACTCCCAGGGCAGGTGGTTAACAATCTAGACTGTCTTCTGTCAACCAAGTCTCCCTTCAAAAGTTCAGAGAGGAGACTCCGACTTTGGTAGAGGGACTCATGGTTCTGGGGTGACCGGGGCTCCCACCCTGGTGCTCACACCCTCTTTCTCTTCAACCCAAAGGACTCACAGAGACCCGTGTCCAAAACTTGTCACCAGACCTGACATGGTGAACTATTAGAGCAAAGTAGAGAGACTTGGCGAGCTCATCTCCTACAGAAGAGAGATGGCATAGAGTTCTTACCAAGAGCAGCCTGCAGGAGGAAGCGGGCCACCAAGAAATATGTTGGCRACATAAAATGAGGGCCAGGAATATAATGTTAACATGCTTATGTGAAAGAGCACGTTTGTAAACTGGAAGATCAACTTGAAGGGCTTCCTCAGAAGACATCAGGAAAGAATTAAGAAACAACAATAGAGCTCAGAGATGTGGCCGCTGTTAGAAGAACTGACATCTGACAATGCAGGCGGCAGAGGAGAGAAAAAATTGAATAAAAGAATGGAAGGAATATTGAATAAAATTGGAGATAGAATTTTCTATAGTAAATGAAAGATGAAAGGCCAGATATTTGGCAGGGCTCACTAATAAGGCAAGACAGGAACAATGAGGAGAACCTGAAGATGTAGAACAGTTTAATGATACCAAAGATTAAAAAATTATATACTTATTTATTATATTAAATAAATTGTATGTAGAATTATATCATAACAAAGTTATAAGCATCAGGCAGCCATCAGACTTCTCAGCCACATGGAATCATACTTTGGAAATTGTGAAGAACAGAACTTTGAACCTAGAATTTTACATCTAGTGAAACTCTCAAGCTTGAGAAAACAAGAAAAAATTTACAGATCTTTTGGGCATGGGTCTCTGTGAGTCCTTTGGGTTGAAGACAAGAGTGGGTGTGAGCACTTTAGAAGGCGTGCTACAAAATGACCCAAATCATAAACGCTTCTGGGAGAAACAGTCAAATGAGAATCAAATCCAAAAGAAGCTTCCAGAGATCTGAGCAGTAAAGGGATCAGAACTTGGTGAAGACTGTTGTCTTAAGGAAGAAAAAAGAAAGCTGGGATGAATAAAAGAAAAGGAGGCCACACATCATAAGAACTTAGAATCGAAATTCTAACCTAGATAATATCAGCATGAGAGGTGGCCTGAAGTGGGGAAATCAAGGAGATGAACGAACTGTGGAAGAAAAGGGCCAATAACTAATAGAAACAATAAAGATTTAAAAAATAATTTCAAAATATTATGATCCTATACAATTTAATTAATTTGAAAACCCAAATGAAATTTAAAATGCCCAGAAAAATATAAAAATGACAAGTTGATGCAAGAAGAAATAGATACATCAAAAAAGGAGACAAAGAGCTTTTCTCTCAAAAAACTCCAGCCTTAGATGTTTTTACATTTGAATYTTCCAAAATATCAAGAAGAAGAATTCCTCTTATGAGTTGTTCCAGAAATTCTGGAACACTGTGAAACTTTTCTGCAAAAATTCTAAGTAAAAAATATTTGTTAACTGGATTTAACAGTGTGTTAGAAACTAATATATTACAAAATGTACTAAAGGAGTGAAATTGTGATCGTCTCAATCGTTTAGGAAAATACTTTGATAAGGTTTAATGATGTTTTATGATGAAAACTCTTAGAGAACTAGTAAGACAAGGTTAGATATTAAAACTCTACTACAATAATTGCATTTAATGATCAAACTTTAGATGCATTTATATTCTTTTATTTCCAGAACACATTGCTGTTTAATATAGCACTAGAGATCATGTCCAAGGTTCTACAGAAAGATAAGAAAGCTCGGGGCGGGGGATGGTAAAGATCAGGCGGGAGGAGACAAAACACTTTTTTTGTAGATCATATGATACATCATGTGCTTAAGAAAAGCAGAATCAATAAAAAAATTATTAGAATCAGTAKGAGTTCAGCAAGGTTGCCAGAAAAAAAGAGCAGGATTTAGAAAAAAGTTGAAAGCATTTCTGTATGCCAGCAATAATCAACTTAAAAAAAAAAGTAATAAAAGTAAAGATAACCATTCACAATATCATCAAAACCATAAAGTATCTAGGAAATAATCAAGATGACATAAGATTTCTATATAGAAAACTCAAAATCATAATAAAGCCTGATAGGTCATTTGAATAGAAGATTTAATATTACAAACACCCAACAGCATCCTAAGTTAATTTTTCAGTTCAATGCAATCTCAATCAAAATCCCAGCTGGCTTTTGGAAGAACTTGATAAACTTACTTTAAAATTTATCCAGAAGAATAAAGGTCCACATATAGGACAACTTTAAAAAAAAAATAGAAAAGTAAGAAAATACAACTTGCTTTACTAGATATTAACCTATACCCAGAAGAGCCATATTCATGCGGGCATTGTGGCAAAGATCCAGAGTAGATTGTAGACTAATGGGATAGGGCAGGAGGCTCAGACCCAGGCCTCCAGAGACAGTAAGTGGAGAGAAGGTGATGGTTTAGTAAGCTGATGTTAGGAAAAGCAATTTCTTAAATGGAGAAAAATAAAACTGGACCTCTATCTAACACCAAATGTAATGGAAGAGATGTAAGTATACGATCAGAAAATGTTGTAGAATTAGTAATGTGTGGGAGGGGGAAAGACTTCATAAAAACTGGAAAACATTAAGGGTTAAAGACTTTTGGTCAATGAGGAGCCCCATAGACCTAGTCCATAGACAGATGACAGACTGGGAGAAAGTATTTTCAGTATTTAAACCCACAGGGGTTGATGTCTGGAATATACAAAGCAGACTTGCTATCCAACAAGAAAAAGACAACCACCTCAATCAGGAAAAGGGCAGAGAACATGGACAATTTAGAAAAGAGGAAACTAAAAGGCTAAAGGCATATCAAGAGATGCTCAACTCCATCAGTAATCAGAGAAATGTAAATTAAAACAACAATGAGATATCACTGTTGGCCTGGTGAAAATCAGGAAGCCAGGCCCAGGACTCTGTAGGCTCCATTGGTAGAAGCACAGGCAGTGGTTGTACTGGGTCAAATTAAGTGCAGGCAAACTCTAAGAGCCAGCGATTGCAGATCTTGGTGTACATCCCAGAGAGATGCTCACACAGGTGCAAAAGACATGTGCGTGAGAAAATTCATTTCTGGTGGGGGAGAGTTGGAGGCCAACTGGGGTCCCTCCCTAATGAAGGGGGCAGGTGAGATATGTGTAGGGTGGCCAACTCATTCTGGTTTTCCCAGAACTTTCCCAGTTTTAGCAGTAAAAGTCTKTGTCCCAGGAACCCTCTCAGTCTCAGGCAAACCAGGATGGTTTGTCACCATCCTGTGTTGGCTGTGTTCCATGGAACACKCTACAACACAGATGGAACTTAAAAATAGTACACGGTGGAAAAAGCMGGAAAGAAACTTAAATATTGAACACATCGCCATTTAAGTAAACAAACACATGCTCTATAAGACAACAGTACAGATCTTGCAAAAATCATAAGAAACCCAAAGATATGCATTCATRCATTTGAGCAGTTGCATATGGAGGGAAAGATGGGGCTAAAAGAGAAGACATACATATGTACACGCAGAAGTGGGGCCTTGTGGGACCAACGGGACAGTGTCCCATAAACTGAGGCCAATGTTTTGTATGTTCAACCCTGTATCCTGCAGTTCAAAAGAAAAGCAAGCTATCTGGGGAAACAGTGTTTATGTGTCCCCCAGTGTCTCCATCACAGGAAGCTTGTGGTGACCTAGGTGGGAACAGCATCTAGGCTCTTAGAAAGGGGTATAGTCTGCATGAGACTGGCCTTGTGGAAGCCCTGGTGGGGTTGGCCTGGGTCCTCCAAGGGCTCCAGGGAAACAGGGTTACACTGACGAGGGACCCTTTGCTCTACCCCATTGAGCCCTCAGCTCAGGTTCAGGCCTACATCCCTGTGGGCCCTTTCTTCAGAAAAAAAAYGCCCCAATCACACAGCAGGCCATTGATTTGGGCTTGGTCTGCCATTCTCTGCAGAATCATTCACACACAGGGGAGGATTCTCACTGAGGAGAAGAGGCTCCTCCACACCCTCCCACACCATTTCCTGCCAGGTAGCAGTGAGGAGAGCTGAGGAGCTCTGTGCAAGCCACCCACCCAGGATTGGGGCCAGATGTGTCCCCTGAGGGCAGAGAGGGCAACTGCTCCCCCCTGGGCTCAGGGCTTCTGGAGAAGCCCCACACGGTGCCTACCTCATCGAAGTCAGCCACATCCTCGCAGTTCTCCAGGACCCGGGAGTAGAAGGACTGCCCTGTGTGGGGGAGAGAGGGGACTCGGGTCAGACCTCAGCCCCAGAGTCATTGTAACAGCATTTGATGAAAAAAACCATGGTCAGGAACTGCCGGACCGMAGGGCTATGCAGCTCTCCAGGATGAGGCGAGTCCCCATGTCACCTCATCTCTGACCCTCAGCAGTCCTTAAGGTAGGCAGGTCAAAGGCCATTCGCTCCATTTTACAAATGGGATACTAAAATCCAGGAAGGCCAAGCTGGTCAGAATAGACACGGGAGTGGACCCCAGGGCTCTCTTCTCCCCTGGCCACTTCCCCAGGGATTCTCTTGACCTTCTTCTGCAGCCCCCAGCTCTACTGGCTGTCTGTCCCAGGCCCTGCTGCCCTTGCAGAAGCCTGGTCCAGGGAGTGTGGCAAGCTCCCTTCCTGCTGATGGGGGTCTGTGGAGCCCAGCCACCTTCTGTGACCTGGTCCCACCCAAACAAAGCCTGGGACAACTAGTCAAGTCCCAGACTCTGTCCCAAGGGCCTCCTCCACCCCTTCCAGAGCCCCATCTCCCTTCCTTTTCTGTGAGCTTTTACAGAGAGGAGAGTCTCAGGTGACCTCTGTCTTTCCTGTGTTCAGTACCTGGTCCCTTCTTTCCCTGCTGGCACAAGTAATAGTGCAGGATGGATATACTGTCCCAGACCCCTGGCTGCCCCCACATCCATATGCCACCAAATAGGGCACGTTGGGTGTCAGAGGCTGTCCCCTTTTTGGCCTATCCAATCTGAACTGACCCGAGCTGCCGGGAAAACTAAATCAGGGGCCAGTCGGGGGTGAACTAAGGGGCACGAGGCAGCCATGTGTGGAGACCATCTCCTCCAGTTCACTTTGCAAAGCATTCACCCGAGGAGTCCCTGATGTACCGGGCCACATCCTGGGACTCAGGATAGAGGGATGGACAAATGCATAGGACCCTTTCCTCAGGGGGCCAASAAGGGGAAGCCAGGGACCTCGAAGAGTCCCTAGTTCAATACTATACAATATATATCCCAAGGTAAACATTTGCACAAGATGCAGAAATGGTGCAGAGAGGGAGGATTAATACCTTTTTTGGGGGGGATTTGGAATAACATGAGAAGAGGCTATAATTTTTTATAAGGAGAAAACCAGAGGTGGGATAGGTTAAAAAGTTATTACTTAAAATTAATCTATTATTCTTTGGAATGACCCACAAATGAATAAATAAATAATAGCATGTATGGTTGGCTCCTAGATGTTTTTTCAATCCTATTTTTTAAAAAACAACCAATTCTATATATCTATTTTGTATGTGCTTAGAAAAAACTTTCCAACCATTAAAGTTGGTCCTCCCTGGAGAGGGGGAGTGAAAAGATATTGTAAGCAGCGTACTTTGACCTTTTGTTTTTTATTTACTGGATATTATAGATGGATTTTTAAAAATGATCACGCTTTACTCTTATAACTGAAAGAAAAACACTTTTAAGTTCCCACTAATCTAGACCAATTAATGGTCTGTTTTGTGAAAGAGCTGTCTCCAGATGGKGGTTAGGATGGGTTGCCATTGATGGGCAGGGCTGGGGGGTATAGGACGGATCTTGGTATGCATGCTCCCTCTCCACAGAAGACCTTGGAGACCTCATTTAACTAAGGAGCCCCTCTGACCCTCCCCTGAGATGGCGCCTTGGCCAGGTATGGAAGGAGACTCAGCTAGGCTGTTCCCTCTAGGAACTGACTTTGCTCCCCACTCTCATGAGGAAGGCAGGGTTGATGTTGGATTCACTGAAATAGTGATGTGGCAAATCTGAGTGTGTGTGTGTGTGTGTGTGTGTGTGTGTGTGTGTGGTGGGGGGGCTGGGGTGGGGGCAGGTGGGGAAGGATTGCATCTGAGATAATTAGAAGCTATAAAGCAGAGTAATTTATACAGAAAATAGATACGAAGTAGAAAAGATGGAAAAGAAATAATCTTTAGTACTAGCCAGGGACAAAACAAAATCAAATAGAAAAATCTTAACAAGTTCCCCACAAGGCAGGGGTCAGAGGGGAAGGAAACAGGAGAGATGGAGCCTGAGCTTCAACTGCTAATTTTCCCTGCAGGTGATATACACGATACAAATGGAGAATCAGGTGAGCCTAGTGGTGCATCAGGCTTCCCCAAGGACCTGCCGCTCTGAATAATCAAAGAGCTGTGCATCCTAGAAAGGTCTTAATGAGGCTCTGTATGGCTGTGCTCAAGGATGCAAAAAACAGCCAGGGGGAGATCTGGTGGGGACCTCCAAGGAGGAGTCTGGTTCTAATGGGCTCCAAGCTAAGCATGAGTATTTGCATAGCCTATTAGAAAGGAAGTCAAACACTGTGAAATTAGCCATTGCAGAATTCACATGTCGACTCTGTTTGAAAATGCGCTAAACCTCATTGGCTTAGGCACTAGGGATACAGATGTGAGTATTCAGCAAACGGGATGAGTTGAAATCTCTCTCTCTGTGTCTCTCTCTGTCTCTCTCTCTCTCTCTCTACACACACACACACACACACACACACACACACACACACATACACGTAAAGATTTGCTGAAACAAATCAATTATTCAGAAAGAGTGGAAAGATCAACTTAAAAAAGCAAAACATTGTTAAACCTTTCTGAAGAGCCACTGTGTAGGAGGGTATGGACACACAGTGGCAGCATCACTTGGGTAGCCCTTTTGTCTTCACTGGCACAGAGCCAAGGGACCTCCATCATCTCTTTTCAGTTATCAGTAACCTCATCTTGTTTCAAGTTCATTTCCACTTAACATCTACTCCATTTGACACTAGTCTTATTGGCATTTCAGTTTCATTTTGAATGGCTTTCAGACAAAACCATTAAAAATCCCAATATCCAATCAGCTTTCTTGCTACAGAGAAGGTTGAGAATAMAGCTTGAAGAAAATAGACTCTTCCTTGCATGGAGAGGCTCTTGTGGATCCAGGGAGAAAGTTAGATGGGAAATTGAACAGCATCCTTCTCTGAGAGGCCACTGCTCCCAGGGTAGATGAGCTGCTTGGTTTGAAACAAACTCTTCCCTCAGCCAATAAATGGGGTATACATTGCAGATCTGTGCTCCTAGTGTAATAAGTGCCATGACATGGATTATACCCATTCCCTGTTGGAGAGGCTTAGGATTCCAAAGTTTAATAGAAGTAACTTTTATGTCATTCATCGTTTAAAAATATCCACTGTAGCTGGGCCCCTAAGTGCAGGTGAGCCCAATATTGGTTTCATAGGCTGAACAGCATGCTAGTCTCTTAGATGCTATGTACAAAATGTCCCACCTGCCCARAAGAGCTCCTTCTTCCAGGCAGCCTGCCCTGCTGGGGCCTAGACCTTTGAGTAAAGACAGGCATGGAGGGACGCTGGCCCCTGTGCCTTTCCACAGCTAGCCATGGGTCTTCTCTGAGTCTATATCAGCCCTGCCAATTGCCCCAGTACAGGGGGACAACTGCTGCCTTCAAAAGCTTATTATAATCCAGAAAGTGGGGAGTGGTATGTCAGACATAGAAGGGGCTTATATACAGGGYAGAGTTTGGTGGTTGACATGTAAGAAGTATGAAGAGAGAGGTATGAAAAGAAGAAATGACTTTCCTTCTGGTGGGCCAAGGAAGGCATTGATGAGACACTGGATGTGGGCACTGGAAGAGTAGACAGGCTGTCAACATGCAGAGGGACTGGGGAGCAGACAGCAGGAGGGACTCTGGGTGGAGAGAAGAGTGTGTGTCAGTGTTCAAGTGTGGGGCAGGGGACGGAGCCTGACACAGTGGGCCCTGGACAGTGAGTCCTGCTGGGAAGGGAGCAATGGAAGGGTCTGTCCACAGGGAGTGGCCCATGGAAGGAAGTCCTTAGAACATGGAATGGCCCATGGAGGGAAGTCCTTAGAACAGGGAGTGGCCCATGGAGGAAAGTTCTTAGAACAGGGAGTGGCCCGTGGAGGGAGGGAAGAGGTCTGAGGACAAATCCCAGCAACATCATGGTTTTGCCAGCACCCAGCCATCTGGCCATCTTCCCAGCAGCGCCTGCTATTGCTGTTACCCTGTGTGAGCTGAGAAATAGCATACGACACTCCTTGAAACTCAGACCTGTCACTGGTACTTCCCTGCCTTATTTAAAATAGCAAAGCCTCAGTGTGAACTGCACAAGGTGATGCTTCCCTCTTGTGAGGCTGTGCACACCCCAGCGCCTCCCCTCCCTGTGTTCAGGCACAGCAGTTCTCTGAGAAAGGGCCCACTGATCAGTCTGTTTCTCTTTCTCCCTCCCCTCCTCTCCCTTCCCCTTCCTTTTTTTTTTTTTTTTTTTTTTTTTTTGATTCTGGGGATTGAACCCAGGGACGCTTAATCACTGATCCACATTTCCAGCCCTTTAAAAATATTTTCTCCAGAGACAGGGTCTCTCTGAGTTACTCAGTGCTGGCTTTGAACTCCCAATCCTCCTGCCTCAGCCTCCTGGGCTGCTGGGAACCTGTTTCTTTAGAAAGCCAGTCACTCTCAAGGAGTTCCAGGAAGCAGGGTGCAGGTTCAGGGAGAAGAGCCAGGCCTAGTGCCTGGTGCCGTGGCTCATGGGCTGGGAGTCCTGGAGCTGACTGTCCAACCCTTGGAGTCTCAGAGTCATCATTGAAAATCTGGGGGTAACCATCTTAGACCAGCTTTMTGTTCTGGGACCATTGTGATGATCAGCAAGAGGCTGTTTTTGAGAAAGTCTGAGTGAAACTTCAAGTCCCTTATGAGCAGAGGGGGCCTAGGACAGAGGGTGTGGCTTGCAGGCTTCAGGGCCTGGTTTCAAATCCCAGCCCCACCACCTGCTAGCCCTTGAAGAAGTTATTTAACTTTCTTTGCCTTTGTCTCCTCATCCATAAATTGGAGAAAATGATAGAGCTTAAAATAGCGCCTGAGCAGAGTTGATTACTCAGGAAATAGCTGTTATTCTCCTAAAGACTCCTGTCTTTCCCTTAGACCTTTAAGTTATGTGCTAAATATAAAAATGGTCTCC